TGTATAGAATTGACAACAACAACCACGCTGTCGAGTTTAAAAAGCGGCAAATCAGCTGCACTTGATAGTAGTTGGTTGAATACCGAAAAATTAATTAGCAACAAGAGTTTACGGGATTTACATAGCTCAGTGGTTAACGCTTCTGACTTTGAACATCGAATTCGCAGGTTCGATCCCTGCTGAAGTCTAGAAAAAAGAAGTCTGATGAGGAGATGTGGTGATCTCCGAAATAGTGCTATAACTTCTACCGCTTAGACTTTGTTGCTTTTTCAATTTTTCCTAATAAACAATCGTGGTACAAAGCTCAATAAAAATATTAAAAATATAAATATATTTTATATTTAAATAGGTTTAGTTTGTGAATTTCAACAATAAAAACCCACAAACAGTTACCTTTCCTGTTTTTCGTACTGGCAAATTCTTACAAGTAAAAATTTATCCAGTAAAATCCAGTAAAAACTTGCAACTTCAACTGTAATTTTTCGCTCTCTCATTTTCCCCTACTTTGCAAGTTTTTTCGTACGAAAACGCCAAAACATTCATAAAAACTTTTACTGGATTTTACTGGAAATGAGTAAACCAACGCAATTATTATAAGATTTATTACCAGGGAACGGATTTTTAGGACCTAAAAACCTATAAAAAAGGCAAAATAAAGTAACTAAATAGGCTGGTAAAGGCAAAATAAAATAGCGAAAAAGGCAAGAAAAGGCACTAGGTATTGAAAAGGCAAAAAAAGGCAAAAAAAAGGTATTGCAAAAAAAGCAAAATAAGGCACTAAAAAAGACAGAAAATACGAAGAACAATCAAAAAATATATTTATTTTAGAAACGTTTATATTAAAAGTAACTATGAACTAGTTTCATTATATGAAAAATTTGTACTTTGAATCTTTGACTATTTTATCCTTTCGAGTTTCTAACTCATAAAACTTTAATCTGTATAGTTGTAGTAACATTGAACCACAAGATGCATTTTGAATTTTTTTTTGCAGGATTTTCATTCAGAAAAGCCTCGCATGTACTAAATGTGCGCTCGACGTAAGTTGATACAAGTGGAGCCCAATTTAAATATGGAACGTTTGAAACGTTCATATTATCAGGAATATGGGCGTTTTCCTCGCCCTTTACAATTTTATCCACACCCCTTATTATCTCCAAGCCTACGTTGGCTGAGAAAACGGCTTTGAATTTTTTTTAACACCAATTTGGCAAGAGGTCCCTGTTTTAATCTTAAAAAAAAATGTAAATGCTATAATCACTTTTTTAAATGTAGAAAAGGCAAAAAAATGCCAAAATCTTAAGAAAACGTCCATAAGCCTAGCTGACCCAAGTCGCCAAAAATCAATAAAAATTAGCTAGGAATTAGGTGTCTTTTAGGTGTTAATTAGGGCCTCCAAAATTAATTTAGGTGTTCCTTTGGTTTCCGAGAAATTCGCAAAAATGTGTGGGTCAGCTAGGTTTACGTAAACCTAGCTGACCCATCGTTAAATTTAGGTTTTAAATTTTCCAGATATATGCTGGAATTAGGTGTCTTTTAGGTGTTCTTCAACGCCACTAAAACTAATTTAGTAGCTCCATTGGTTTCCGAGAAATTCGTAAAAATGTGTGGGTCAGCTAGGTTTACGTAAATTTAGGTTTTAAATTTTCCAGATATATGCTGGAATTAGGTGTCTTTTAGGTGTTCTTCAACGCCACTAAAACCAATTTAGTAGCTCCTGTTTACGTTTACGTAAACCTAGCTGACCCACACATTTTTGCGAATTTTTCGGAAACCAATGGAGCTACTAAATTAGTTTCGGTGGCGTTGAAGAACACCTAAAAGACACCTAATTCCTGCATATATGTATCTCGAAAATTTAAAAAAAAAAAATTTAAGATTGTTCAGCTAGCTTAACAGCGCTGAGCTAGCTAAAAAACACATTTTTGCGAATTTCTCGGAAACCAATGGAGCTACTAAATTAGTTTTAGAGGCGTTGAAGAACACCTAAAAGACACCTAATTCCAGCATATATCTGGAAAATTTAAAACCTAAATTTAACGATTTTTACGTAAACCTAGCTGACCCACACATTTTTGCGAATTTCTCGGAAACCAAAGGAACACCTAAATTAATTTTGGAGGCCCTAATTAACACCTAAAAGACACCTAATTCCTAGCTAATTTTTATTGATTTTTGGCGACTTGGGTCAGCTAGGTTTATGGACGTCTTAAAAAAGGCAAAAAAAGGCAACATCAAATGTGTATATATGAATCAGGGAAAGCTAAATCGTGGACATTCTTAATCGAATATACTCTATCTCTTTAGCAGAAAAAAAGGCAATTTCCATAAAATCCGTTCCCTGTTTATTACAAATGCTGCAGTTTCAACGTTTGTTATTTAACTTTTTGTACAGTCAGCTAAAATATAATATCTTGACTTTATTTGAGTCTAAGTAATAAGTAATAGCAAAGCATTCAAAAATTATATTCTAGACTTACTGAATCCATCTCAGTTTCGATTTTCGTTAAATCAGGGGAAAATGCAACGAACGTATGAATAAACTTTGAACATACATATACATACATACATAGGTAGGTGCGTTCGTAGGCTTTAGAAATCGATTATAGCATTTCCATAGATCTCACGAAAAATGCCCCGAATAATTACGATTCGTTTGGTCCCCCGGCGTATTCAAATTGTTTTACCATCCACTAATCACACATCAGCTGGCATTGACATTTTCGCTCGCCTGCATATGTAAATCAAGAATGATAGAATACAAGATTGCGCCGATCGGAGAGGATTTTTGAGAATAACTTGTGTGTGACGTCACACTGGTGCAATTGCGAGAGAGAAATGCCAAAACGTGAGCAAGAATGGAAGAAGAAGAAAAAATGTTGCAAGGAAAACGTAAACAAGTTGCACCAGTGTGACGTCATGCAAACAGCGATTCTGTCAAATTCGTTAAGAGAGGAATAGCGGTCCGAGATCGGCGCAACCTTTGTATTCTCTCAATCGTGTATGTAAATAGTATGTGCCGACAACCGACCATTTCGTCTGCTGCAATATGTATCTTCAGCGCAATTCCCAACGGTGTGATTGTAGCGCGCTGCGATGCGGTAATAATCGTACGACGCTTTGACCATGTCGCCCGCTTTTTCCGCTTTAGCTACTTGTAACTCGGTGGTGATGCGCGTACGTCATGCGTGTTATTTTAAAGTCAATGACAACAGCAGTGGTAAAATACATACATACATAAGTATATTTTTCGACGCACTCTGCTGTTGTTTTCTAGCTTTCTTATCGTTTTTTTTTGTGTGCTCTAAGTGTGATTTTTAGTTTTCTAATTGAAACAAAAGACATGGACCCTATGCATGAAAACTAAGTATTTGCTTTTTCTTAAAATTGTATACCTTTCACTTAATTTTTTTTTAACAATTCGAGTAAAAGGTCTGTAATTTTAAGACAAGCATTTGCTTAGGTTTTATTCATACGACACTATCCGATTAAAAAAGGATTATCGAAATCGGTTGACGTGGTCCAAAGTTATGCGGTAACATACATAAAAAAAAATATTCTGACGAATTAATAACCTTCTCCCTTCTTTGAAGTCGGTTAAAAACACTGAAATCAATTCATATTTGAATTTATGTTTGAAAATTTATATCCGAACAGAAAACTAAGCAATTTAGCGTGAAATAACTTCATTTGATAAAAGGCAGCTTAACTAGTACGTATGGAACTATCAACTATGAAACGATTATCCCTAATAACGACTCTTGGTAGTGCTGGACGACAAATCCTATTTATCTACTTTCGCGGTTGATTCTCTTTTGTTGAAGTAAATTGGCTTGTAATTATAATTTAAACATTTTGTGTTACCCTTTCAGTAATATCTGCTACTTTTGGTACTTTTATTTCTATTGGTTGAATACAACCAAAAAACAACCCTGCAATCGATTGAATCACAAAACCAGTCTCCACCAACATAGCAGTCCCAAAGTCAACGTGTGGGAGAGAATTGAGATAAATTGTCATGAAAACACGAAATTCACTCTCAACAATCATCAGTACTCTCATGTCCATGGTGCTCATGTACAAAATTTCCTTTGGCGAGCGCCTGTTTGCATTGGAGAAATTCATGTGTGGTATTTGTTGTTGAAAAATCCATATCACATGAATATTATGTACATACATTTTAAAGCACACTGATTGATGACTGACAACACCAGTTTGTTTAGCCACCGCCACATACACCCCCCACTCCCTACTAGCTGAGTGCTACACTCGCTCTCGAGACTTGTCTCAATTACACATGCTCAGCAGCACTATCGCTATTTTCTAAATGCTGCAATACACACAAGAGCTACTCTACCTCAACTCAACTCCAGTCAGATGCACCTACAAACACACATACACCAGCTCATTGTTGTGTTCTCGCTTATCTAGATGGTTGACTGGTTGGTCGGTGGCCGCCTGACTGTTTGCTTATGTTCGCTCGCTAACTGGATGGCTGGTTGACTGGCTGGCTTTTGCTGGAGAGCTCAACTTCTATGTGGAGAACTTTTGCCTTTCAGTTTTTCGAGTTTTGTCGACGACGTCGCGTTGTGTTTACGNAAAATGTGAAAAAAAACACAAACTATTATTGAAAATCTTTGCCCAAAAGGCGATCAACATACAAATACAGTAGCTTGACGATTTGTATACCAAGGAAAAGTAACAAAAAAAATCAGAATGAGACAAGTACGCACTAACATCAAAGAAAATTGCTTTAATTTCCACATAGTAGTGCTATAAATGTGGGCAACGTCATTTCCACTGGGCGAATGCGAGTACATATGTATAAATATCTATATATGCTGGAAGGGCGAAAAAGCAAGCAAGCGGCGGACGGACCTACACTTGAATGAGTCACACTCGTCAGTATGAGGAAAAAATGCAGTCGGCTATGGCATTGAGCGTGCGTTCTTTTTTATAAACAAATGCATTTAGCATTTTCTCCGAAGACCACATAANGAAATGTGAAAAAAACACAAACTATTATTGAAAATGTTTGCCCAAAAGGCGATCAACATACAAATACAGTAGCTTGACGATTTGTATACCAAGGAAAAGTAACAAAAAAAATCAGAATGAGACAATTACGCACTAACATCAAAGAAAATTGCTTTAATTTCCACATAGCCCCTCCTTTGTCGACGTGCCATCATCTTCTTCAATCGCTGCTGGGCTGCTTTTCCGGTTGTAAGGTGCTATAAATGTGGGCAACGTCATTTCCACTGGGCGAATGCGAGTACATACATATGTACATACATACGTATAAATATCTATATATGCTGGAAGGGCGAAAAAGCAAGCAAGCGGCGGACGGACCTACACTTGAATGAGTCACACTCGTCAGTATGAGGAAAAAATGCAGTCGGCTATGGCATTGAGCGTGCGTTCTTTTTTATAAACAAATGCATTTAGCATTTTCTCCGAAGACCACATAAACTATTCTAATTCCGCCGAAATCATTACACATTGAGGGAGTCATTAATTACGTTGATTATTAACGCAATGTTTATAAAAAAATGTGTGAGCGCATTAAATGACACATTTATTTATTTGATTGCCAATTTGGCATTTGGTTTGGCAAGTGTGCGCCCACCACCCAACTACCACTCATTTAGCATTCGGTTTATTAGTTTTTTGTTTTGTTTTTTTTTTTGTTCTTTTTGCTATTTTCGCTCGCTGGCCCTTCTGGTTGTGCCAAATCAATTGACGGCGATGTCAACGTTTATCATCCGTAAACGCTTCCTCCAAACCGAATTTCCTGCCTTTCATTTCTTTACGTTCTCCTGTCTACGCTTTAACTTTTCTTGTATACTACGTTTTCGCTTGGCTTTTTGCTTTGCGGCGCTCAACGCTGCTGAGTGACTGAGCAAAGTGTTGCCGCTCTTAGTCATTCTCGCTCGCGAAGATTTCATGGTCTATCTTCTCAGTTACATTTTTTTTTGCTTGCTGACTATCTGGCTGCCAAACTGCTCTCATTACTATTTGTTTATTTTCAAAATCTTATTAATATTGTATTTTTGGCGCTTCATCTGTGCGGCAATTGAGTATAACTTTGGTCGAAGCGAAGTGGTGATAAAATAAATTTAATTTCCAACTTTTATAAGCATTATTAAATTGTTCTGCTTAGTTCATTTAAAAATTCCTTAATATTCAGTTGGCATTTCCAGTTTTCGATTTTTAATTGCAATAAAGCGTTCTCTACTGACCTTCGTTTATTTATTATAAGTGGGTTTTTTTATGCCTTTCGTGTGTGTTGTCATATCCGTACGCCCACAAGAAATCAATCTCCATCAGAGTTGGCGACAAAATGTAGTGCGTTTAACTTCCGAAAAACACAAGCGAGTGGCAAAGGATTTCTTCTATGCTTCTCCGCTACAAAGAAGCTCAGTGAAGTGTATTGATTTTGCATAAAATATGGTGGAAAACATAATTTCTTTTTTTCTATTTCTTTTATGTAGAATGATGTGTGTGAAATACTAAAAAAGAACGAAAAATTACTCTTTGCAAAATATAATTAACAATTCAAGATCGCCTAGTCAGGTTGGTGTTATTAAAGAAAACACAATCGGAAAATAAAGAAAACCATTCCCTTCAATATTACTGCACAACACAAAAAAATACAAAGCTCTGACAATGGATTCGGCGTAGGAAAACATGCGACGAATAAGATTTTTGGGTACATATTAATCCTATAACTCGTCAATAGAAGGGCCTTTTTTGTCCCTAGTTTATAAAAGGGCAAAAAATACACATACATAAAACACGGGTATAACAGGTTAGAATGTTTTACAATAATATTTGCCATTAAATACTCTTTATAAGTCTATTAACACACCAAAACTCAAAATTCATTTCAAATGTCAGGGAGCCTGACCTGAATCATTTCGGAGCCTGAGTTATGAGTTTATCCTTCAAAACTTTTCTATTATTTTAGTCCATCCCCATGATGCCCCTCGCGACGGATTGAAGCCTAAATCGGATGCTTTATACAGTTAGTTGTCCACAAAATATCAGGAATGCTATTTTGACCAGTTTCGGCTACTTGTCTTTTGCTTATTTTATGCTTATTATTTTTTTATAAAAGTCTAGCTGGTTTTACAATAAAAAACAATTAAATTCAGATTTCAAACTTTGTACAAAAATTATAAAAATACCTCAAATTTTCAGCAAAATTGCAATCCTTTTAATCAGATCTATAGAAAATTTTAATATGAATACCCTCTGAAGTAAGATAACTGTTTACCCAGAAGAGAAGGCTAAAATTATGCCCTGGAACAAAAGTAATATATCAAATTGGTGTAGGTGTTCAGTAGTATGCAGTTTTGTAGTCATTAAATTCTAGTCTGATGATGTGCAAGTTTCAAGTTGGTAAAAAATCCCGTTGATTGAGAATTTTTTTGGTTGATTATACTTCTGTATAACCCACTTCCGATCGAAACCGGAAGTCGTTAATACAACGAAAAGATAGAGTATCCCCGACCTCGTAATTCATATTTTTTCGATTTCCAATAAAAACATTTTCACTTATTTAAGAAGTCCTGGACGAATTGAAGTTCAAAGGTTGAAAAAGGCATTTCTGGGAATAAAGTTTCGAAAAAAGTTAGATATTTTTATGCTCATAATTCGAATATATGTAGTAAAAACACGTATGTCTAATGTAAAAAAAATTTATTTCCCGTCAGTTTAACCCACTTCCGGTCGAAACCGAAAATCTGTTATATCACCAACGGAGAGAGCATCCCTGATTTGATAAGTAATATTTTTGTGTTTTTCAATAAAAAAAAAAAACATTTCCCTCCATTTTCAAGTGGGTGGACAAAACTGCTCACAATGAAATGGGAAGTCTATTAAGCCATGTCTGTCTATACGCCCGTACGTCCATCTATCCGTCCGTCCGTGTACACGCTTACTCGAGAAAAAATTTAAATATATCAACGAACTTAGGTAAGGGCACTGCTTTGCCTTTATCCTGGTTGGTAAAATGGATACAATCGACCTATAACCAGGCCCATCTCCCATATAACGGTATTGTGTTGAAAGTAGGAATGTGAAGTAAAATGTTGACTTAAAATAAGATAGTTATACAATGTTCGCTCTGTAGTCACTTTACCAATCCACACCAAACTCGGTGCGGACATTGTTTTGAGCAGGGGCGGCGAACCAAAGCACGCGTGCCATTGATGGCATGGAGCAAAATACTTGGGCAACGGTATTAATTGAGGACCCAATTCCTCAATTACTAATACATAGTAGTTACTACATAATCGAAATAGTTTCGTCAGAAGTGCCAAAAATACAGACATTCGATTCTTGAGTTCCAGTGCATCATTCTTCAACATGCTTTGTGTGAAAGGCCTGGTTTCGCTTCCGTTGTAATATAATGGGCTGCAAAGTTTATGGTTTTTAAGGATATGTGCCAGCAATTATTGAATCTGAACGCAAAGTTTCAAGGCGCTAATAAACCTGTTATAATTATAATAAATCTCATTCGCGCTTTTGAAACTATGTGGTAAAGATATTGTTTCCAAAAATTACAAATGTTTCCAAACTTAAAGTATTTAAAATCCGATTTGGACTTACATGAAAAAGCAGTCGGAGAAATAGGCGCCGAAGGATTTTCTGTGGCAATAAATTCTGTATTCGAAAAATTTTCAAAGAGGTTTTCTGAATTTAAGGAGTTATGGGAAACACCCATCTATCCTGATGTGTGAATTCACTTAAAAACCGAACTTGTCTAAATTTGATTGGTTTGGAAATCGAAGGATTTGAAATGCTGCTGATTGAGTTCCAGTGTAATTCAATATGGACTAAAAACTTTGTCGAAAAAAGGAAAGAGGTTGGAATCAATCGAATTAGAAATACCATCAGTCAATTTGAGCAAAAATGCTAATACCAAAATTTTAGAAACTTGAATTCAATTCCACACATAGTAATTAGCTGTCTGCGGAAACTGGTCTTCTTGACAATGTTTTCACAGAGACCTTTAATAGACGCATTATTCGTTCTTTAAAACAAAAATCCGATTTATGTGTCAATTAATGTCTCCAAGAACGGCGATTAGTCATGATTTCTTGTTGGCACGTCATGGCTATATTGAATATTTCTGTGAAATCAATGCCACGTACTATATGTATAAAGGACCCGTTGAAAAATTTTTAAATCAGACAAGAAAACGTCCACCTCCCAAAAAAAAATGAGACTAAGAGAAATTTTTAGAAAATGGGTATGGCGCCGTCCACTTACGCCTGCATATCTGTATCTCGGTAACCGGTTTATCAGTTTCTACAAAACTCGGTGCAGTTATTAACCTTGTATGTTAAAATTTTTGAGATAAGACTAAATCTACGACTACTTACCATATGGGTATTTCCAAACTGGCGCACAGTGTTTCGACTATATGGAGGCAGGTGGAAATAATAGAACATCTGCACCGATTTCACTGAAACTTGACTTGTGCTCTAGTTTTACTTAGAAATAGAGAATTGTGAAATTTTGTAAAGATGGAATAATTGCCACGCCATGTATTCAAACTGTAACAGGGAACATTTAAAAAAATAACAAATGTTTTGTAAATTTTTTCATTTGTATTAAAAGCCTTTCTTTTACGAAAAAATCAAGCTACTAAGAATAAGTAAAAGAATGGTGAATAGGAAAATGAAAATGAGAAGTACATGACGTATGCGTAACATTTTCCGACATTTTGATTTTTTTTTTAATATTTTCATAATCTATAGCTTTTTTTAAATTCGTCCGCCATATCTGCCGTTTTGAATTCCGAAAATTTAATATGATATTCGTAATCAATGACCTGGAGCTAATTGTATAGATTTTGAAACTTCTCTTATGTACACCCCGCTTCACTTGAATAAGTACACATATTTTTCTCAAAATCCAAGCTTGTACCTGGACTTGTGGGCATCAGGGGAGTTTCTTGTTGATCGCATTTGGAAGATTAATTCATTTCGAAGAAAAGTCTGGAAAATGAAGAAAATACATGACTTACTTTGGGTTTTATTCCACTTTTTATTAAACTATTCTAAAATTGTGCTTATTATTTTGATTCACTTGAATAGGCACCTTATATGTTTAGCAAAGTTATTAAAATTTCGCTTAAAACCTTTTTAAGAATTAAAATGCAAAAAATGCATAAATGGAGGTCTTCACAGATCCAGGACTTTGCAGGCGATCAGTTGGAAATAAAAGTGAAGGAAACGCAAATATTTTTGACAGCTGAAGTCGGCTCACAGCATTGCATGAAAATAGGCTGAAATGCAGCCAGAACACAAAAGCTAGACGGAAATAACAAAATTCTTTAACGACGTCAGCATCTTATTGTCAAGATAGTGGACCAAATGACACCACAAGGGAAGTATGGATTACTCTATACATACATTTGTGTTCAGAAAATGTCCGAAAAGACAAATTTTATTATACAGCCTTAAGAATTATGACTGGAATGTTTTGCAACTCACATGCCTGAAAGGACAACTAGAAAATGGTGGGCTTATCTGGCGAAATGCTTAAGTTTGATGACTGCAATGAATTCAATAATATTTGTCGCAATTTTTCAAAAGACGGACGTTGTTTGTTTCCCCTCCATGATCAAGAAGAGAGTATGGCGGTTTGAACTGCGATTTTGTAGTCCAGAGCGGTTGTGAAAGTGAAATTCGTATTATGAGCAATGCAAACGTGTCGAAATTTTCGTTGAGTATGGAATTTTCTGTCGAACAGAATTTTGCTTTCGATGGTGTAGCGAAATGTTAGAAAATTTTTAAAAATGTATGATTTTGCATTTGTTTTCTTACTTTTTAGCGGCTAGACACTAATTTTAAACAATTTTTATTAATTTCATGCAATTCTAACGTTGTGAATACTAAACACAAGCTCGGAACGCTGGGTTTTACGTGTGAAAGAAAATCTCAATACTCAGTTGGCACGATCTCTGAGAACAAAATCATAGAGCTGTTTATAGTTTTATTATATTTTAAATAGATAGGATCACAAAATTTCTTAAATATGTATGTCAAAATATATTCGAAAGGCTACACTTAAACTCTCTTAAACGTTTTCTGCTCCTGGCCAGTTTTCTAAGCTCTCAACGTCTGACGAATCGTTCAATCAGAACTCCGTTGTGCTAATTTTACCGCGTTTTTGTAAACTCGCTATCTTTTTTATTTCATTTTAATTTGCACAAATTTACATAAATATGTAAAGCACACTATTTAGTTTGCTCGATTTGTAAACAAAGCTTGTCAGCGGCGAAAAATATACTATTGTGAACAACCTCATCGAATGAGCGCCATAATACGAAATAAAAAATTCGTTCGATCAGCACTTTCGACCATAGTCGAAAATGGAATGCAACTCATAATAGGGGCCAATATTTCAATTTTCGAAAATTACGAATAATTCATGCAAAAACAAGTATTAAGGACATTTTTTTTAACATTTGTCGCATATTTTCGCACCTTGTTATTGAATATGCTAGCGAAATTCGCACTACAGGAGGAGTAAAAACGAGGATGGCGAAGCAAAGTCGTATTTTTCTCAGAGCTTGTCCTATTCACAGGACCTAAACTTAATGGAAAATATTTGGAATTGGATGTTTTGCAAAGCTTGCATGTCAGCGCCCCTAGAATTGTCTTCTGGATAGAGGTTTTTCCATACATTGCAATTAAGAATGTAGTAATACTAGAAGTATTATATAGGAGAATTAAAATGAATCAAGACGTGTTTTCTCCATTTTTACCACTTTTCTATTTAATTGAACATTCTTCAATATGAGATCAAAAAGAAACTTTTCCGATGGCCAAAAAATCCAGATATAAGTTCAGATATGAGGAAAAATGTTTACCTATTCAAGTGAAGCGGAGTGTATGTACTATGTATGTTAAAAACTTTTAAGCTTTCCACTCAGATTTGTTTCATTCTTCATATATGTATGTACATAACACATTCATATTTCAACTTATGCATAACCAACATTTTCCAGCATACTTATCTGTATTTTCTCTTTTATATGTCTATTTCCATGCACGCTCATCTTTAACGTTTATCCGCTTCTCCGAAACATTTACGCAACTCAGTAATTCTGAATCAATTCGACTTTGATTATCTACTTACAAAAGGCAATAACAGCGCGCCAATTGATCGTAGTTCGATTTTATTGAAATTCGATCCATTACTCGGTGTGCCAGTACCTGCAAATCAAATCCAACAACTACCAGCAAAACAATCGCCACAAATATTCCAATTGCTGGGCAATAATCTAGCCAATCTAGGTCCTACAATCGAAGAGGACGAACACTCATCATCGGCGTCCTTATCATCGAATAGCAATAATCAATCCTTTGTTGTTGAGGCAGAAAATAAGCGTATATCGCTCGGTCTTAACCTACTGAACGAAAGCTGTGCCAACGCGAAGCAAACTTTTACTAAAGTTTCAACTGAAAAACAGCCAATTAAGGAACAGAAGCAACAACAGCAGCAAGTAGTAAATTCAAAGGTGAATTATCTAATTTGAAGTTCGCATTATTTACTTTGATAATTTATTATTTCTTTATTTGACAGAAGCATGCCAGTATGAGTGTCGACGTGATTAAGGATATGAATATCGATAACGATTGCAACAAATCATTTGAAAATTCAAAGTAAGCAAATGTTGATTTTGTTTTGTTTGGTTTGTTTTAGATATGAAACGAAAAGCAAGTCTTAAGTTCAGTCAGTTTTTTCGTTGGGATCGATAACACGGTGTACAAAATTAAGAAAACTCACGAACCTTTTAAGTAGTTTACAAAACTGTTTAGAAACTTTCTACACGCCTGAAATTTTCAACTTATTCCGAAAGAAGCCATTTTAGTATGACTTCTCGGGCTAAACAATTTTGTGAATGAGTCGTTTGTTAGGCAATTTTAAGTGTAAATATGGACTTAAAAAGAATGTTTAGAATTGTTTATTAAAGCAGAAGCTTAGCAAGAATGGGAAATTTGAATTAAATCTCAAACTTACGCCCTTTTTTCCTTTGTAATATAAACACCTTTTACTAACGGTCAAATCTTGAAAAGAACACTAAACCCTATTGGTTAGAATGGTAATATTTTTTAGGTGGAGGCAATCCCTTTTCATAATTTTACAAACAAAATGGCAAATATGGTTCAGGCATAATGAATTGAATATGTGCTTAATTAAGAATAAAATGTTAAAAAAATATCTGATAAAATGATAAAAACATAACATTGATTTAAATTTTAAAATAACAGTCAGTCGCAAGGGCCGCGTGAACGTGCCATTCGAGAGGTCCGAGTTCGAATCCTCCGGCAGCGGATTTTTTCCTAGTGTTTTCTTTTTTTAATTTAATTTTCTTTTCATGTTTGGTTTAAAAAAGAAAAATGCATATGTTTTTTAATTTCATTTAATTTTTAGAAACTTTTTTATTTACTCCTTTGATTTAATTTTCAGATTTTACTGTTTTAAGAATAAAAAACATTTTTTTTAATATCATTTAATTTTTAGATTAAAAAAAAAATTTTTTTTAATTTAATTTAATTTTTAATAACTTATTTTTTTATCTTTCTCAATTGATTTTTTTTAATTTTTTGATTTTATTGTTTTAAAAAGAAACATTTGTTTAATGTAATTTCATTTAAAAACTTATTTTATAAATTTCTCCTTTTGTAATTGATATTAATTTTCTGGCTTTATTTATTTATTTATTTATTTATTTATTTATTTGGTCTACAGAATGTTTTCTTACAGACAAATGAGAATAGAACATTTAGATATTTAAGTATGTGTGGTATATTACAGAATTGACTAATTATACATAGTAATTTATAATAATAATAATAATAACATAAAATAGCAGGTTTGGTAGCTGGCGAGGCCCAGTCTTCATTGTACTTTTGTATGCGGCGGGCGGAAAGACCTAGTTTCCGCTCCACGCTGCGGACAGCCTGTTGATCAAGGTCGGTAAGGCCGGGTTTCCGATCCATGTTCCCGAAGACATTACTTTGTATGTGTGGTAGGCGGAAAGCTCTGGTTTCCGCTCCGCGCTATGAACAAGTTGTTGATCATGGTCGGTAAGAACGAGTTTCCGATCCATGATCCCGAAGTCATTACTTTGATTGTGTGGCAGGCGGAAAGCTCTAGTTTCCGATCCGCACTGTGGATAAGCTGTTCAGCATGGTCGGAAAGAACGAGTTTCCGATCCATGTTCCCGAAGTCATTACTTTGAGTGTGTGGCAGGGGGAAAGCTCTAGTTTCCGCTCCGCGCTGTGGACAAGCTGTTGATCATGGCCGAGTTTCCGATCCATGCTCGTATTGTATTACGCGGTCCCGAAAATATACGAAGCCGATTACAATTGTACTAAGCAGTCATAGATATTGTGTAATTTATCGTTCCCGGTTAAAGATATTAATTTATTTAGTTACAAAAAAGCGAATACTTACTTCTCTTTTAATTTTTGGTTTTTGTTTTAATAACGCTAAGACCTCCTAGCTCGCGGATCTTTTAAATAAGTCTTTCGAAAGACAGAAAAGCGCTTTGAAGAAAGTTGACTGAATTGACAATTACCTAACGAGAGACTTTTTCTTTCGAAAGACTGTGGGGAGTTGAAAGGCAGTTGCCAGAATTGAACCGTAAAACTGCTTGACAAATATCTGAAGTAAAAAAGTGTTATTCCGGTTTTGTATAAACAAGTTGAGATTTTCAGGCTAACGAACAAAAGTTTATTTTCTCTGTTTCACAGTGCAATTGACCCCATAACTTTAGCATTAATATTTCACTATGAGCCTGCAGTTCTCAGTTGATAGCATATCGTCGTTTAAAGTGCAAAACCGCGTATCAACAAAATGCAAAACCGCGTATGTGAAGTTGTAGAAATTATTTTCTAGAGCGTAAAAACTCTCATATTTCAAAATGGTTCTCTTTTTTATAAAGCAATGCATCTCTGGCTAGTATATTTCAGGACGAATGGATAAGGATTGAGCCAAGAGCTTGGGTGAGCCAATTTTTGGCAGCCAATGTCAGTTACGCGGTTTTGCAGAATCACGATACGCGGTTTTGTACTTTAAATGACGATATGTATGTAGATAGCAGATTTTTATAGTTTATGCTGTTTGCACCACAACAAAAGTCTTCTTTTTTTAAACCGTTAGGGAAAAATTATTATTTACCAGTCGATAAAAATTTTGTTACTGTAGGCTTGAAGATTTCTTATTTTCTTCTGTAGTCATGCGTAGTTTGATAATTCATTCCCTGGCCATTTCGCTAAATAATATAAATAATATTCGTTGTCGCCTTTTTGGTTACTCCTTGAAAGCCCATTTCAACAATTCTTTATTTCTTTTGTTGTTACAACATAAAAATTCCCCCAAGTAGTTTTTGGCGAACGATGCTGGAATATATCTGAATTTTTCCGGTTATGTGTACCCGACTGCCGTGGGAACCACCATAAACACATCTCTGTGCGCGGTTGAATTTCTTTAATAGTGATAGTGTACACATATAGCACATTTATTAAAAAAAAGATCTAGTATAACTATTCACTCATTAAAACCATTTTAGTCATTATTAAGTTGTTTATATTTCATTTATGCCACAGCTCACAAACCGATGAGAAACAAATTAATTACAAGATGGATGAACTCGAGAAAAAAATTAAAAATGAAGTGTAAGTGCGTTTTTATGATAAATGTAATAAATTCAAGCTCAATT